AGGAAGTTTACATTTGTGTGTGCTGTATAGGACAGTAACCTTGTCCTGAAATAAACCAAGACTTAGTGGATCTGGGTCAGCAACACCATTGTGAAAGGACTCTCTGAGAAGCAACGTGTCAGGGGTGAGCTGAAAGATGAAACATTATCCAAAGAATGTTCCAGGAAAGGGGAATAATATAGGGGGAAATCCACGCAGCAAGTAATAACTGGATAAAAATTTGGAGTGCTTAAAGAATTAGAGAAGGCAAAGATAATTAGAGGGCAGGAGCATGGCAATTAAGAGGGAGAATATCAGAGGTCTAGCCTAGGCAATAAATTGCTTAGGCCACGGGAGAATCTTGTTTCTTAGGTCTGAGTGCAGGAGAAAGCGAGCTTGCGTTAATAATGACACGCTTGTCAATGTAGGTGAAAATAGCTAGAGGGATGGGAGTGACCAGGAGGAGAGACACACTGGATAGTAACTGTAATGCAGTGAGAAAGCAGCGGAGGCTTGAGTGAGGCCATAGCAATGCCAACTGGAGATGCACTGTGGGGAACGAATCTGAGCCAGAAGGAGTGACTGATGGGAAAGGAAGGAAAGAAGTCAAGATGATTCTTTAGCTTCTGGATATTTGTTTAGCAAGAAAAGACCAGTATGGGAAGAACTGGAGGATCTGGAGAGTTTGAGACTGCAGCTGCTTTTTAAACATCAGAACCTAAAATATTCTAAGTAGGGAGATTGGCGTAAGTGTAAAACTGAGAGGAGAGAGGCTGAAGGCATCGCTGTATGGATGGCATGTAAGGCACTGATAAAGGGTGTGACGGACAGAGCCCCGCCCACACTCCGACTCACCAGTGCTCTCAGCTCTGATGCAAGATCAGCTGGTGAGCAACAGATAAAATGAGTTTGGGATGTTGGAGAAGAGAAGGTGGAACAACCGAGGATTTACCGCACTGAGTCTGCCAACTGGTGCTAACACCTGGACTGGAGGAAGAGGTCCTTTCCCTCTTCCCATCGCGGCGTCTGTCCCAGGGGTTCTCATGTCATTCCAATGTCAACTGTTGCGTTTAGATTAGTGCTTAAAACCCACTCTTCCTACAGGATTGAAGAACTTCCTCGGGATGCTCCACCAGTACCTCTAGCTCAGTTCATTTTTTCCCCCATCTGCTCGATATTTGTGCAACCTGGAAATGAAGACCCATGCCCACCATGAAAGTCTCATTCTTTTATTTAATAAAAAATTTACAAATCCTGCTTTTTAAAACTTATCTTTAAAATTTAAGCAGGCTATGTAAGCTTCCATAGGTAAACTATAATGATGTTTTAAAGTGCCCACAGTTATCTTAAATGATATAATGACAACCCTTTCATCCAGAGAAATCATGGCACTGCTTTTAAGCATGATGTTTTCTTCCAATCTCTCGCCTTCAAGTTTATGTTTGGACTAAAACATAGCATTGGGAAACAATTTAAGAGAATCTAAAAAGAGATTTAGAATGGCAAAGTCACTCAAACTCAGCCAAGGGAATTGTGCAGTTATATTTCCCAAGAAAATTTGAGAATTAATTATTAAAAACAGGAAGTAGAAATAGAGACGGACAGGAAGGGCCTGGGCTGTCTCTTCACCTGCCCGTCAGTGACGAGAACTTGAGTGAGTAGCTGTATTTTGAGCAGTTCTCTGCACTCTTTTTCACACACCCGTCTTAGAGATAGTTCATTTGTGCATGTCCCGCAGTGGGACGAATGTCGAATGTTTTTCTGAGTCTCTGTTCTGCCTTCTGTATGAGCCTTTTGTGAGCAGAGGCACACTTGAGACCACTGCCCAGCATGAACCGTGGCCCAGCACATTACTTAGTATATTAACATGGACAGAAGCCTCTGCAACAATGTCCCCAGTGACCCAGACTTGTTATTCTAACAGGGTTCTCCAGAGTACCCAGTCTGGAGTAAGTTCCTCATCGTGCCCCTAGATAGCAGTGGTGGTGTTGGTGGGGGAGTTGTAGCATTGGGAGAACTGTTTTGAAATTCTTTGACTATTGTTTAATATCTCTTCATCTTATTTGTCACATAAGGTTTTGACATGAACTTTTAACTAAGATTTATTTGTGTGTGTGTGTGTGTGTGTGTGTGTGTGTGTGTGTGTATGTGTGTGCTTTTGTGTGTGTACGGAGGGTGCATAAGTCTGTGTGTGCAAAGGCCCCAAGAGTGTGTTAGGCCCCTCTGGTCTGGAGTTGCAGACTTGTGGGATTCTGGGATTCTTCTGGGGGCCTTGTATCCAAACTCTTACCCTGATGATTGTGAAGCAAGTACTCTTAACCACTCAGGCATTTATTATTATTATTATTATTATTTATTTATTTATAAAAAATTTCCACTTCCTCCCCTCCTCCCAATACCCTCCCATTCCCCCCACTTCCTCTCCTCCTTCCTCTCCAGTCCCAAGAGCAGTCAGGGCCTCCTGCCCACGGGAAGTCCAAGTTCCTCCCCACTCCCTCCAGGTCAAGGAAGGTGAGCATCCAAACAGACCAGGATCCCAGAAAGCCAGCACATGCAGACGAAACAAGACCCAGCGCCATTGTGAATGGCCTCCCAGTCAGCCCCCATGTCAGCCACATTCAGAGAATCCGGCCCAATCACAGGCTCGTTCAGTCCCACTCAGGCAGTTTTACAGCACCTGTATGCTTGTTAAATCTTTCTTTCTAATCATCGATTAGTTTTATTCTTTAAAATACCTTCCTCTTAGAGCAGTGGGTGTTCTCTCAGGCCCCATGACTATAAACCTCTTAGCATTCTTCCATACACAGCTCTGACATTCTGCACACTGTTCTTCTCCCATTTCTGTAATAAAAACGCAAGGTGACACTAGATTTAACATTTTCTGTGTGACTTCCCTCCAGTCACGCCTCTTCTTACAAATACAAATATTACATGGAGTTTCTTCTATTTTTTAAATCTGCAGTGCTTGGAATCAAATTCAAGGTTTCATCCATGCTGAATAAGGAAGGGCCCTACCACTGAGTTACGTCCCTAGTCCTCAATATAACTTTTTTCTCCAATTTTTGAGGTTATAAATTATAGCATTTTCCCATTCCCTTCCCACCCTCCAAACCTTCCCATAAGTCGCACTCATAAACTCACTAATAGGACTGCTTAAATATGAGCTGAGTAAAGATTACATAGACTTGCCACAGTGGGTGGGGAAAGCCCATGAGAACTCAGCCTTACACAAAGAACTCCCGGCAACTAAGGAATGCTGAGAACAGGAGAAGTAGTCTTCCCTAGGGAAGAACATACCAATTAGTTATTCAATACCAGTGATCATCCCTGAAAACATACGTGTAGATGGAGCAGGTTATAGTTAAGAATATATATGTATGTGTGTATATGTATATATATATATATATATATATATAGGATTGTATATGTGTATGATTCTTAATCTAATTGAGTCTCTTCTTATTCAAGTCAGTTGGTTTGAGCCAGGAAAATCTCAGTGGATGAATAGATACTAGTTTTGAACTTTCTGAAACTAATGTATAACTATAGTAATCTAAATGTTATCTCTTTAAATTTTCTGTGGAAATTTAGGACATTCATAACTGACTGCTTATGAAAACAAAAATGTACAATTTCTAATGGTTCGGGCCCTTTAAGTGATCACCACTCTGTGCTTTTCTCTCTCCTTGGTAGCTGAGTCTTTTAAAAAGAAAGTCCAGGTCAAAGGCTTCCATTGGCTCTGAATGCTAAGAGTAGAAGGGTGTGTCTGCTGGACATCACGATTTCTAAGAAGACACATAATGAAATAACAGTTCTAAGATTAGTCAGAAATGCTAGTGGAGGTGTTTGATTTTGTGAAATACACTAAGAGAAAAAGAAGGGTCCCGCAGTCCACAGTGCATGAGAACTCTGTGTTGCTTCTTCTCCTCCAACACAGAGAAGCGCGACCCTGAGGGCACTTCATTCTCAGTCTCAGCAGGTGTTTTAGAGAACCCAAAGCCACAGGGATTGTGACAGCGGCAATAAATAAAGCATCTATCCAGTGCATTTCCATGCAAAAGTAGTTGAGTATTCTTTGCCCTCATTGATTAAAAAAATTCTAAAAATTAAAAATAATAAAAGAAAAAAATCAGCATGGTGATATTACTTTTTCTTTGCAGCAAGCCCCCAAGTGTTTATGATTCAATGATCCAAGCCTATGTGTAAAAAAGTAACTATACTGGTGGGTTCTCAACCTGGAGGTTGTGACCCCCTTGGGGGCCAAGTGACCCTTTTACAGGAGTTACCTAAGACCACTGTAAAACACAGATATTTAAATTATAATTCATAACAGTAGCAAATTTACAGTTATGAAGTAGCAATGAAAATAATTTTATGGTTGGGGTCATCACGTCACGAAGAACTATATTAAAGGGTCACAGCATTACGAGGGTTGAGAACCACTGCCCTATTTCCATGATTTAAAATTATTAAGACAATAGTTCAGAGAGTAAAAAAATGCAATAAAGGAAGTATATGGCCATTATTAAACATGTACTAGAATTAAAAGAAGGTATGTTACTTCTCCCCAGTGAAGAAAATAAAAAAGCATTCAAAAGAGAAAAGTGTGTGTGTGTGTGTGTGTGTGTGTGTATGTGTGTGTGTGTAATACCCCAGTGTATGAATTGAATGGAGACTTCTTTTAAAAAGGCATATATGTGACAATGTGAGGAAGAGCATCATTAAGGAATTTCACAGAATTTTTATGTAAAGTCTTATCATGCAGTGTTATGATCTCAGGGACACTTTGTACTATTTACCGAGTCTTCTGAGAATTCATTTATTCAGGTCATATTTTAAGAAAGAACTTAGGAGATTCAGATCTATAATGTAATTCTGTAATGTGCCCAGCTGATCCCATTAAATCCAACCCTACACAGGTCATATAATGATGTGAACAATCCCCTCCCTTCAAGCTGCTGTCCCTCACCGACGTGCATTCCTGCTGGACTAAGAGGGCCGTTCTCTGCATTTCTCCGCAGGCTGAGGTGCAGCTCTGCTACCTGGAAGCACAGAGAGATGCGGTCGAGCAGATGTCTCTCAAGCTGTACAGCGAGCAGTACTCCAGCGGCAGCAAGAGAAAGGAAGAGTTCGCGGACATGTCCAAGACGCACTCGGTGGGAAGCAATGGGTAAGGGACTGTCCTTCCTGCTGCATTCTCCCTAGCCTACTTTTTCAGCCACGTCCCGTGTTAGGTGGCACGCGGGCGTTTCCTTCCTAGCTAGCAGACGAGGAAAGGTTTGACGGAGGGCTGGAGAAGAACCGTGGGCTTTATCAGCCTCTACCTTCTAGGCCAGAACTTCTGAACTTTGTTACTATCTGGAAAAAGACGGCCTTGTGTTTCTTAGGAGTGTTTTTGAAACTCTATTTTATCGATAATATTGGTCTTTCTTCTGCATAGATTGTGTTCAAGCTTGTATATCCCCACCCCCCTGGCTTTGACCTCAGTATCTATGTTAAGGTTTGTTTATCATACTTCTAAACAAAAGAACTTTATCGGAAACTTTGAAGGACATAGTATAGAGACCTAGTAATCACTTAAAGACCATGGTTTGGCTAGCTGCTTAGATTCACACAAAATCAGCTGGAATTATGGGTTAGTTCTTGACTCTGTTTTTAGTATTTGAGACAGGGTCTCACATAATCCAGGCTGGCCTTGAGCTCAAATTGTAGCCAAGGCTGACCTTGAATTCCTGATTCTCCTGCCTCTACACCTTGAGTGCTGAGGTGACAAGTATGTGCTATCATGCCTGGAAAAGCTAACACCTGAGCTGTTTGTAGTATGTGAACCGTGGTGGTGGCAGCAGTGACCCAGGAGCTATTTTGTTTAGCCTGAGATGTATGGTTCCACTTAGCTAGAACTCGCTGCCCACAGCCTTCAATATTTCCTGCTGCTCATAAAGAACTACAAACATTTCCCAGTGTATTTATATATTTCTGTCTTCTAGTGCAATTCTAATATTTAATAGATGACCATTAAAAAGTAAAAGAGATGAAGTTAAATTATTTCATAGTTTTAATAGCTTAGTAATAATTATACGTAGTAAAATATAAGCAGTCACCCTTTTTAGGCAGCAAGAGATGGACCCTGGTCTCCAAAGCTATACTACATGTTTATAGTACTATATAAACCTGTGAAAATAACTCTATCCAGAATATTCCCTGAAAGGCAATAGAAGAGAAGCCCTTTCTTGCCCTTGGGTGCCTCTATTATTTTTTATTTGTGGGGGTCTTCTTGGGACAAGATCTCACTGTATACCTCTGACTGTCTTGGAACTCACTGTGTAGACCAGGCTGACCTCAAACTCCAAGATCCACCTGCTTCTCTGCTTCCCAAGTGCTGGAATTAAAGGTATACCACTATGCCCACTTGCACTGACCTTTCGAAGCACTTAGATTTATAACGGACTCACAACCCTTGTACAATGTTGCGGGCTAAGTTAGCTCATAGGTTAGAGATTCTGTTCTGTTATAATAACTCAGGGTACAAGAATATAAGAAAAATACCAGAGTCATGATTTTGTTAAGAAACAGAAAGAAATAATTTCTATTTGCCATTCTAGCAGGTTGTGTTCTACGCGGGAGACCTGCTATTCACTGGGTGGGGGGGTCAGCAGCAAGTGAGAAGGAAAAGGTTGAATCTTAGAACATGAACCATAAGCTGTTTGGGGGCATTAACGTGCTTTAATTTCTCAAAATCCCTAAGCCCTCTCTGGCGTGCACGCAGGACAGACTTTAGATCACATTCTCCTGTTTTCTGAAAGCCCTGGGATTGAGCAGTACCGCGTGCCTTGACCTCAGATTCCAAGGGCCCAACCTGAGCACCCGCACTGGGCTCCAGGCATCATAAATCTGCCCTGGGAATTGCTTCGTTAGCAACAAGCATTGTTCTGTGACGTGGGAGTGGGTGAACTTTCCCGATAGCCTTTGTTTGTGCTCCTGAGGGTGCTGAGGGCTGTGCATTGTGCAGAAGTTTAAGAGTGCACTGAAGGCAAGCCAGCCATTTAACAGTGCGAACAGAAACCTATGCTGCGCTCTTGTCCCCGTTGACACACAGGAAAGCTCTGTCTGAGGAATTTCTGTGGGTGAGGTTATCGGAGGTGTCTTGCCCCCAAGACTCTGCTCCCACAGTCAAATCTGTAATTCCGAAGCTTGAAAAACACAGCCTTGTAAAATTATTTACTCCAATTATGGATAAACTTCACTAACCATCTCTCTCTCTCTCTCTCTCTCTCTCTCTCTCTCTCTCTCTCTCTTTCTTTCTCTCTTTATATATATAAAATGAGCGTTGTTTCCAACAACTAAATGTGGGAATAGTGTGGGCTTCCCAGGGTCTGTATTTCAAATGCAAAAATCCAATAGACTAAAGAGAGAATGATGTCGGTAGTTCGATTCATAGCCTCTCATTCTCACACACGTGCTCAGACCATGTGTACGAATATAGTTGTCTAAGAATTCTGCGGGGAAGACACAGCTGCTATAATGAATGGTGTTCTGAAATTTCTACAAGTTTTGTGTCACAAAAAAAAAATACTCCTTCTGAAATGCGTTTCTAAACCGTTCTGGCTTGGCGAGAAGGTGTTTACCAGGGTGGGATATCAAAGTTCCTACCCAGCTATCAGTTTTGTGGTTAGCAGTCCTGGATGGGCGTGGTGGGAGGGTTTTCGGGAACACAAAGAAACGTGCTTTGGCGATGGAGCATATTCATCTGTGGGAGACACTTGGCCTATGCATAACCATCATGGAACCCTGACTCCTGGGTGGCCGGGAGTGGTGATTATCATACTTAATAAAATATAAGCTGTTACCCTTTCCACCTTTAGACTTGGGTTAGGCAGCAAGAGATAAACTCTGTTGATATATGTGAGTCTCTGTGATTCTCCGGGGAAATAAACACCATTGCTTTTTATTTAAGTGAGAGCAGTGTTGATTGTTTTGCTTCTTTCACCAAGCTAGTCGTCATGAGGTCCTACTTTGTGCACAGTTCAATGCTCTAAGTGTAACTTATCAGGACCGCTTGCATTCTGCATGCTCCGTAAACAGTAGCCATCTCCCTTTTCAGGTGTTTGCTCCTTGACGATGTTATCTGATTTCACTTTTCAAATAAAATTCGAATGTGTGGTCTAATGTATTAAATAGCTCTGTCCTTGCTGAGAAAACTTAGTTTAGATGATTATTTATGTCCTCTGTTCAACATACAAGTTAGGAATTAAAACATCCAACAGCTTAATGATTCGCTAACCCAGCGTGGACGATTTTAAGTGTTTCAGGGGATTTTAGAGTGTGCTCTCTGCACAGCAACATGCAACACTTTGGATGGATTTGCTAAAGTGCTATTTCTGGGTTTCAGTTCAGACCTATGAATTCAGAGAATTTGGGACTAGAGAGTACATCTATCCTAAGCCAACAAGCTTCCAAAGGTGATTTCTAGAAGTTTAGGAAGCGCTACTTTGGACAGTGGAGATTTTCTGGTTGGGAGTTAATGTAAAGTATGGTAAAAAGTTTGAGGGCTGAAGAGATAATGAATAGATGACCATCCTCAGAGGACTGCGGGATGAAGGGAGCGAGAGATGGGGAGGCTCTATAGTGCTCCAGTCCAAAGGACTTGGGTGCCGCTGAAGACAATGTTTACTGAGGATCTCTTAAACGGAGGTCACACAAGGCATTGGCGATATGGAGTCAATGAGATACAAAGAATTTTGAGAAGCAAATATAACTCAACAGAGGATGGTACAGGCTTGGAAGTGACAAAAAGCCTGTTTCCCCAAGTAAGACATCTATGAAATCAGCTAAGACAGTAAGGGAAGTGCCAGCACGACAAGTGACAGTGTTCCAGAGACTGCAGAGGTGTCTCAGTGGCATAGAGTGCCTAACCGGCAAGCACAAGGACATGAGTTTGAATCCACAGCCCCCACATAAAAACTGGGCCCTCTACATAAGCTCTGGGGTGGGGGTGTGATGTCAAAGGTAGATGGGTCTCTGAGAACTCACAGGTTAGCCAAACCAGCTGGAACAGTGATCTTCCAGCTCAGTGAGATTGCCTGTCCAAGGCAATGGTAGCGAATGATGGATGGCACCCCCTGAGATCCTACTCTGGCTTCTACATGGGTGCACACAGGCATGCACATTCATGTCCATGTGCCACACAGACACACACACACACACATGCACACACACATATACACCATCAAACCAGTATTCTGATAAAAAAAATGGAGAATATATTAGCACGAAAAAAATTACACATAGTTTAGTTAAGAGGCCAAGTGTAATAACACATGCCTGTTGCCTGTAATCTTGAGACTTGGAAAGCTGAGGCACTGTGGATAATTATGACATTTTTTTTTCAGTTAGAATCTTTCCTTGATACACTACATAAAGCTTCTAAAATAAAGACTACAGAATCGAGAATTCCAGGTAGCAGTTTAGCTGGCGGTAATGGAGGGCTATAGTTCACCATTATTGTCTATTGTTAAGCTAAAGGCCAATGTCTGCACAAGACCCGCACTAGAGCAGGCTGTTTAACATCCCAGCATGCTCATGCCTGTGCACGCCCATGCAGAGGGCAGACCACTATTAGGAGAGGGGCTACTGAGATCCCACAACTGGAAGAGATTGCCTATTGATGCCTGTAGGAGGAGAGGGAATCTCTTTTCTTTCCTGGTGTTGGCACTAATAAACTGTCCATGTCTCTGTGGATAACCCCACACCCATACACTTATGGGCAGTACCAACTTGACTCAATGAGTTATTAAAACAAATAAGAAAAATAATTGTCATCAGAGAACCTTTATCCAGCATCTGGTAGAAACAGATGCAGAGATCCACAGCCAAACATTAGCCCAGGCTCGGGGAATTCTGCTGAAGAGACGGAGGAAAGATTGTAGGTTCCAACAGGGTCAACGACATCACATGAAAACCCACAGAAACAACTAACCTGGCTCATAGGAACTCACAGTCAGAATGAACAACCAGGGAGCCTGCTTGGGACTGACCTAGGCTATGTGACAATTGTGTAGCTTGGTCTACTTGTAGGAATCCTAACAAAGGGAGAAGGGGCCGCCTCTCATAGTTTGGCTGACGCTTGGGAACTTATTTCTCATAGAGTAGGGGATGGGAGGAGAAGAGGGA